GTAAACACTGTTTTCTCCAGCATGTCTACAGAGATAAATTTCACAGAATTCTACTGAAAAAGAACCATGACAACTATTAAAAAATACCAATCACAACTATAACTTTAACCAGATCGTGCACAGTAAAAGTTTTATATAGTACTTCTGTTAAAGGATATTTACAAGCACATAACTCTTGATAAAAAATAACAATTGAAAACTCTTTGGAAGAAAAAAAAAAGTATTCATAGTATTTCTCATTCCTAAGTCCCTCAGTTTAAGTTAAAAGTTAAATACCAAAAGAACTGTACTAGCCACAGGTTACTAAAAAAGATATGCTCATGTATTCTTTTGTATTGTACAAGTGTATGATATATGTTGTAAATGACATAATTATTATTAATTTTGAATATGATTCATTAAAATAAATATTTCTTTTAATAAATTTAACAAATAAATTTTATTATTTTAAAAATAATTAATACTACTAATAAATAATGTTTAATTATTACTTAATAATAATACTTAATATTTAATTACTTATTTCCTTGATTTCAGTGCTTCAGCTTTGTCAATAACATGATGGCAGCCACGCCTGTCACTCAGTAACCTTTTAAAGCTGTTCCTGATTTTGTAATTACTTTGGCAACTCCTTTGGTGTAAGAAAGAGAGAAGCTGGGATTGCTGGAGAATTGTGCTGAATTCATTAGAAACTACTAATTAGAAACACCTGTGAAATCAGAGATTGGTGGCAGGGGGACCACTGCTAGGAACAGAAGAGAACAGGGAATGAATAATCCTTGTTCAGAAGGAATATGGCAGAATGAAGGAGCCACCTTTCTCATTGTTTCACTAATTGTTTCACCACCGAATACTCAATTACTCACAAATGTTAATTGTTTCACTACTGGATACTCATTTACTCACTAAAGCTGGTTATTTTGATCTCCTCTCAGCTTGGAACCTTTTGGACAGTCACACTCCTCAAGGTGGCACATAAAGGACAGTGAGAGACCCCAGAAAAAATCTGGGACAAGGAGTGTTTCAGCTGGATGTAAGAGGAAAACAGAAGGTGGAAACATTCATGGAGGTTCCCTGGGAGATCATTCTGGGATGTCTGCTCAGGCTTACAGACAGCAGAGGAACAGAGAAAATGCTGAAGGTGCTGAGTGGCAGGTTGGCCAAAGAGCACAGTAAATGACCATTATCAAACGGGCCAGTGTGGCTGTTCTTGCATTGATCAACATATTCTTTATCAAAGGTTAATGCTTAACAGATGGCCCCAAGACACAGTAAATAATTTCCCCCTCCCTTACTTCCTACATAATTTATTAAGTACTTTTCTGATTCTTCTAAAGTACCACAGTTCAGGTGTGCTTTTGCATAAATAATGACTGACTAAGTGCATCCTCCAGCTGACACCTTCCGTTGCAAAAATAAAAATAAAAATGTCATTTTTGCAGCAAAATTCCATAAAATTTCCCAGCAGGGAAGCTGGATCTAAAGACTGTGCTAAATGACTCTTAACCAACTGTGTCTGAGTCCTGTCATCTCAAAGGGCAAACAGTAACATACATTCCTGTAGGCTGGCAAATCACAACACTTGCTCCGAAAAACATTTACTGAAACAGCCTTGCAACTTAATCCAGGCAGTTTCTGCCAAAAGCAACATCTCTGTGGCAGTGTATTTCAATTTAAAGTGATATTCATAGAGCAGGCAGGATACACTGCCCCATTCAAATGTTTCCCTGCACAATTTTCAGAGAATGAGGAATCCCTCTTTTTTGGGAATGTAGTATTCCCATTTGCTGCAGGTTATGAGTGTGAAAGGAGTTGACAGAGAGCTACATTTTCCTCTGGATATCAAAGAATATTGCTTCCAACAGCTCTGCTTTTATCTGTGCAGCAAAGTCATTAAATCCCCAGTCAGGAGACAGGACCCTTAACAAGACACAATTCTGTATTAGTGGCAATTTGGCCAGATCATGACACAAAATATATTTTGGGCCATTCTGAAAGGGGTGCAGTTCACAGCCACGAGGCCTGAATCAAAGCCAATAATCTTGATAACATATGGGCTGAAAAAGCCTGTAAATGAAAAAGTGCAATGCTACTTCTTCATTTAAATACCTCTTCAAATAAAGAAGTACTTGTTGTAAAAGGAATGTGTTTTCAACTGTTCTTCTCTCCTGCTACTTTCTGAGAGTTATACTGAGGGAGAAAAACTGTGGCATAGAGGAAAAACACTTTATGTAAAACACTATGAAATGACAGCATAAAGTAGGCATTAAAGGCAATTAATTAGCTCACAGGAGGTAATTCATCAAAAGAAAAAGATTTTTGTTATTACTAACCATGATTTATGGACTTGGACTTAGGAATGTCCTTGCCTATCATTATGTAAAATCTTGGTTCCAGCATTTTATAAATATCTTTTCTTACAGTGACATAACAGTTATAAAACGTTTTTGCTGTGTTTGCCAGATTTTTTCTATCACTCAAAGAACAAGTAATTATTTTATCAATAGGACTTTAATCACTATGTATTAAGTGATTAACACCACTTTTGAGTGATTAACGAGAGCAACTTTTAGGCTCTACAGTCTGCACTCTAGGATTCAGAGAAATCTGCTTTTAGAGAAAGCAGTGTGCCACAATTTCAAACAGCATGTACTAGAACATTTCTGTAAATGAAGACAGCCTGCAGACATTTCACAAAGCTGATCTCTTTCTATGTGAAGTTTAGTCAGCTCCAGCAGGGTGTGGAACTCCACGTGAGACACTTGAAAGAACACAGCTGCAAGGTGCAAGGAAAGCCTCAAGTTTCATAAATAATTATTAAAAAAAAAAAAAGTTATTTGCAGCACCTTAACCTTCAGTATTCCAACAGGCATCTTTTCCCTTATCAAAAAAACCAAAAACAACAAATAAACAAAAAAAACCAAAAAACCCCAAAAATAAACAGCACATCAAAAGAAAGTGAGACCTAAAATCCTTGGGTTCCAAATGTTTCAGAAATGTTATGTAACTGTGATGGGAACATCTGAAGTTCGAAACAGAAAGGGGCACATTTAACCTTAAATTGCTTGCTTCAATCTCAAAATAAGTGTTGGGTTGCAGTGCTTCCCTTAGCCAGATTAAAAATGAAGTTCAGGCCACTGGGGAGGTGGGACAAGTTTTTGTAGACACTTTGTTTTGAAGGAATTTCTAGAGATGAGCCTGTAAAACATTACAAAACCAGGAATTATCTCATTCCTGCACCATTTGCTAAATAGAAAACAATACTGTCTTGAGCAGCATAAACCCCTAAGGAACTCAAAGCAGCAGACAATTACCTGGCCTGCTTTTGAGAGGCAAGAAGTGCAAGCAGTGTGTGCAGGGGAGCTCAAAAAAGAGCAAGGAAATGCTTCCTTATTTCCTGTTTCCCAGAGCATGCTGAGCAAAGCTAACCCAGGTTAGATGGGCTGCTCTGAAATCTCAATCCAACTGGAAAAGTCTGATTTAAACTTCACACACACCCCACATCTTAACTGACCAAACAAAAAACCCCTCCAAGCAAATGCTTTCATTTTCAGGCTGTGTCCCTGACCCAGCAGCTGACAAAAGTATCTGTAAGGTCAATCAGCAAGTGTTGGATTAATTTCCCTAAAGTAATACTTAAAATACTCTTCTTCAATATCTGCATTCCTCATTGTTTTCTAAGTGGAAGTACAGACCAGCCCAAACAAAAAGAAAGCTTCAAGAGTTTCAACCTTGAACTTTCTGCCTTGTTTTTTGTAAAACACTAAGAAATAACTCAGGTTTTGTTACAGCCAGGCTACTAATCCTGGAATACCCAGGCGTAAGCAGTGACAATATGAAAATGCACACCTGGGAAGTCTGGCTGGTTTCCTGGGGCACTCCTGCAGTCCCTGGCACCAGGAGCAGACACATTTGTCACTCTCGGTGTGCCCGGCATTTAAACAGAGGCAGGTTTCCACCTTAAAGGAGAAGTGCGGGAGAGACACCGCCAGCTCCAACAGAAAACCTGAGTTTGCTTTTCAGCTCCTCAGGCAGACGTGACAGGGAAAGGTGTGATTTATTTAAAGGAAATAAACACTGCCGCAGGGTATGGCTATGCAACTGCTAATCCCTCTCTTTTCCTTAAAAATGCCAGCCTTCATTTCTGTTTTCTGCAACTTTCTCACCTTAATACTCGCCAAAGTTAATTTACAAGAAAAAACTAACAGAGGACTTTGACACCTACTTTGGCAAACAAGGCCAAAACTTAACCACATCACTGTATTTGTGTACCACCAAAAGCTTTGCAATTCCATCATCTTCCTCCAGGCAGTGACTGAATTAAACGCTTTTAAGTCTAACTGGGGGTAAGGATAGCTGCAGAACCCCATTCCGGAGGGGCTGGTGAAAGGACTGATCCCTGTTTAAAGCATCTACTATAAACCCCAGATGCTTTAAACATTTTCTCCCCACTGTTCACTTGCACTCCCTGTGCTCAGAGGGTGAGAAATCTGTGCCACTGAGAATCTGAGGACAGATCCATGGGGTACGTGTCCTGGGCTCTGGGCTCTTTCTAACCTTAACAACCCAGCTGATTTCCTCCAGCATAAGGAAAAAAAAAAAAAAAAAAGCAGATGTCAAATTTAGAGTTTATTGGTTCTATGAAGAAGAACCGTGAAACCGGCACTTCCTGTGACACCCTGTAAACAGTGTCTTAAGATAATAGCATGCCTAATTTAAGAACCTTCTCTCAATCTGCCAGTTGCACATCCCTTTCTGGAAACACGGCAGCCCAGCTGAGCTTTCTTCTGCCTTGTAAACACACCGGAAAGGAGCCTGAGCAGGGAGAGCTGCAGCTGCGGCAGCCGGGCTGAGCCAGGGCTTGCCCGGGCTCAGGGCGGAACCGGCCCGGCCCGGCCCGGCCCTGGGCGCGCTCGGTGCCGCCCGGGTCCCTGCGGGCAGCGGGGGATGGCGGCCCGGGGCCCGGCCCGGAGCGAGCCCCGCGGGCCCAGCGCCCTCACCTTCACCCGCTTGCCCTGGATCTCCAGGCTCTTCATGGTGAAGTCCACGCCGATGGTGCTGCCCTGGCGCTCGGAGAAGGCCCCGGTCTTGAAGCGCTGCACCAGGCAGGTCTTGCCCACGCTGGCGTCGCCGATCAGCACCAGCTTGAAGAGGAAGTCGTAGCTCTCCTCGGGGTCGGGGCCGGCGCCCAGCGCGGCCACTCCGGGCATGGCGGGGCGCGCTGCGGCCGAGGGCAGCCGGCTCTGCGCAGCGCAGCGCCCGCCGCCAGCCCCGCGCCGGGACCGCCCCGCTCCGCCCGGCCCCGCGCCGGGACCGCCCCGCTCCGCCCGGCCCCGCGCCGGGACCGCCCCGCTCCGCCCGGCCCCGCGCCGGGACCGCCCCGCTCCGCCCGGCCCCGCGCCGGGACCGCCCCGCTCCGCCCGGCCCCGCGCCGGGACCGCCCCGCTCCGCCCGGCCCCGCGCCGGGACCGCCCCGCTCCGCCCGGCCCCGCGCCGGGACCGCCCCGCTCCGCCCGGCCCCGCGCCGGGACCGCCCCGCTCCGCCCGGCCCCGGGACCGCGCCGGGACCGCCTCGCTCCGCCCGGCCCCGGGACCGCCTCGCTCGGCCCGGATCCGCTCTGCCCCGCCCGCTACCGCCCGCGGCCGCGCTGTGACGGCTCCGGGCAGGGATCGGTCACCGAGCGGGGATTGTAGCCCTGGCACACCCGGGCCGGCAGCACCGAGCGGGGATCTGTCGCTGCCCCGGCACAGCCGTTCCGTTCGGGCCGCAGGTCCTCGGTGCGTGGTGATGCCGGCGCCCGAGCCGAGCCGTGCCCACACCCGGGGCCATGCCCGCACCCCGAGCCGAGCCGTGTCCGCACCCCGGGCCGTGTCCGCACCCCGAGCCGAGCCGTGCCCGCACCCCGGGCCGTGCCGTGCCCGCACCCCGAGCCGTGCCCGCACCCCTGGCCGTGCCGTGCGGGCCCACACGCGGTCCCGGTCCCGCGGTGCTGCCGAGCCCTCGGTCCCTGCCCGGGCGCAGGATCCGCACATGCCGTGTGGCCGCATCCTCGCCGCAGGGACACATTTTGTGTCGAGTTCTGCTGGTTTTGTGTATTCCTGTTCCAGAAATAAACAGGTGCCGCTGCCCTCAGCCCCCAGGAAGCGCAGCTGGCTCGCCGGGCTGCTGCTCTCCGCTCTGCGCTGGGTGTGGTGTGTGTGCACAGCGCAGACCGAGGCTCAGGGCTATGGTTTCTCACCCTTGCGAGGTCCTGTGGGCTGAGAGACGGCTTTGGAGCTGTTAGCATCCAGCTGGGTGTCTGACATGTGCACACGGATGTGTGTGACCATTACACCACACACTGCTCCTGTGTTTTCAGATAAATATATCTCGAGAGTCTGGAATTACTTGTTTTAACTGCTCTCTGGGTTATCTGCAAAGAAAAGTGCTCTTTAACAGGTACTCTCCTTGTATCAAGATGCTTATAAAATCAAGAAGCTTATAGAAATAAGATTTACTAATTAAATACATTGACAGAGCACATTTTGTAATTCTGTTCTTTCTACCAAAGACCAGCTAAATTTCATCCTTGTTGTTTCAGGTGACATTAAACTGTTTTGTGGCAAAGAGTGAGTTAAATTGTCCCATAGATAGTTGTGCAGGAGGAGAGCAACCTGATTATCTCTGAGCCAGCACAGCCAACCAGGCCAGCTTGGCTTGAATTGCCTCTGAACTCAAGCTATTTTGGGTGGCTCCACAATTATTCCTTTTCAGGTCTGGATATATGTTTTGGTGATCCATGGTTGCATCCAGCCAAGAGCAAAAGTTTGAGTCCTCAGTCAGGCTGGACCAAAGGCTTTCTGTTCCTGCAGCTCTGAATTAAGCAGGGCACTGCATCCTTGGATATTGACCAGCCAGGACAGAAAAGGTGTTAAAGAGATAATAAGACATCACTGTGTGTATGCTTTCATGCTAATTATATTTTCAGAGCTGAGAAAAACACTGAGGTTAGTTAGGAGGAAGCATTGCTAGAGATGTCAGTCTTTAATATTCATAATTCATTGTTTATTGTCCTGTCATTTTAATGGGAGACTAAAGCTGCTATTTCTGTGAAGATAATTTTAAAGCAGCTATTTCATTATCCTTGCTAGAGATCATTACAAACATTTTTCTATTAGCTGTTATTGTTGCTGCTTGTCATCACGAGCCTTTAACTGCTTTTAAAATAAAGGATTCCTCAAACAAAAGCCACAAATTGTCACATTATATTGTTGGGCTTATGTGAGGGATCTGAGATGAGCTCTCTCACATTGTGAAAGCTGTAAGTAGTGGTTTGAGTGTTAAAATATTTGGTTTTCTTTGATTAATCCCCAGACTCCATTGGGGTTAACACCTGTTTCATGCAAAGGTAAAACAGGAAAAACAAAATGGGTATGGAGTCAATTCCAGTTTGTATCTGGCTGTATTTGAGAGTGGTTCATCAAAGAGTAGAGAGTGCTACAAACACTCTGTAGCAGTCTCTGATCTAGTACTACTCTAGCAGTGCCTAGAAACAGGACTAAAACCTGGGAGAAACCCCCCAAAACCGGCCTTGGTCACATTTCCTGTTCTCTCTGTTCCACAGGGGAAGTGAAATTTCACCTCCACCCAAGCGAGCTGCAGAGCCCTGGGTGCAGGGAGGGCTGTTGGCAATTTCCACATTGGATCTGGGGGTAGGGCTGGGTTATGGTTCAAAGCAGCTGCTGGAGACTTGAAGTTTAAAAGAAAATTAATTCAGTTCTGACCATCTAAGTAATCAACTACAGTGACCTCAGATGAAACAGAAAAAACACAAGGGAGATCCCAAATCTGTTCCCCACTCTCCTGCAGTGCTGGACAAGGAGCCGAGGGCAGGGGCTCCAAGAAAGCTCTGGAACTCTGTGAGGACACAGCAAATTTACTGAATTCTCCGCAGTAGCAGGCATTCATTCCCACTGGGGATGTAGAACAATCACCCAAATTGCTCATGAAAACCAAGATGACTTGAGTTATGGCTTGGTGGGCACATTGTTCCAAGAGCAATTTTCCAGCAAATTTCAACATTTTGTATTTACAATGCAGGCATGATGTTTGATGTCTTAATGCTCCTTTTGTGGTACAGCCTTTCCCTGGTTAGATTTTGGTTAAGATAATGTTTAAGCATCTGTAGTCCTTGATATAATTTTATGGCCTCCTGATTTTACAGCTGACTCAGCTGGAATGGGCTGAGTTCTTTCAGACAACAAAAGTAGTGATATATTGTAATTTATTTTTAAAAGGAGCTATTTGTTAAATATTTAAAGATCACCTTTTATAATATATATAATATATATTATATATATATATAATATATAGTATATATAGTATATATATACTATATAGTATATATAGTATATATTATAGATATAATATATTATATAACATGTAATATATAATATTATATGTAATCTATAGTATATATAATATATAATAAATCTAATATACAAGTATATAAAATAAATAAAATATAAAAATATATAAATAATATATACATTTAAAAATGCAAAAACCTACTTATTTGTGGTTTTTTGTTTGTTTTTTTAAGTAATAAAACCATGTTCACACACTCAGCATTACCTGACATAGCCCCATAGATTTGCTGCATAAATTCTTGCTTGTGCACATTAAATCATACATGCTCTGTGACTCTTGAGTTTGTGAAAGCAAGCTGCTCTTGTATCAATCTTATAACATTTTTAATATTTTGAGCTTTCCTTCTTGAGGAGAGTACCTGAGTGTTTATGTTTACAGGAGAGACAACATTTTGTCTTCTCTATGGGTGGGGCGTGGAGCTGTTAACCCCCAAAGGGCTGCCATGAATGGATGGATGGCTGTTTTGAAGCCCATCACCAGTGAAGAGATATTCCTGCTGTCCAGGAATCCCTGCTGGCAGCCTCTCTTTGCCATGTTTGTGCAGGAACTGGGAGCAGCACATGGACAGAGATGCTCTTTAGGGTGATGGTAAGAATTGGGTTTACTTGGGAAGTCCCACGTTGTTACAGTGGGGTTTTCCTTCTGTGCTCTCCTCCACCCTCAACCCTTTGTCCTCCTGAGCAGCAGTGTCCCAGCCCTTGGAGGAACTCCTGGAATCTCAGAAAGTGATGTCACTTACACCTATTCTAGCAGAAATTTTCTCTCTGCCTGGTGTCCTCTTTCTGTAGTAGCACGGGTGGCAGCAGAACCATTGAGTTATAAGGAAATTACTGACAAATAAACAGGGATGAAAACTTCATCCAAAACTTCTCCAGCCAAGGATTTGTACTGAGTACTCCTTCCAAGCCTTGCTATGAGGAAAATTGAAAATGTCTCCCTCATGGTGACTCCCAGCAGTGAAATAGTTTCTGTTCTGCAGCTGCTCAGCAAAGCGTGTGCGACTTTGTCACGTGTGATGTGCTCCTCACCCTGTGTGGGTGCTGCCTTTGTTATCAGCCAAGTTCCAGAACAAGCTGTGGAGAACAAAAAAATTGTAATTGTATTCATGAAGTTTTCCAAGTTAGGCATTTTGAGTGTTAGAAACCATCAGCTATTTCCAGTTCCTTTCAGATGACTCAGCTGTGGAGACTGGCCTCTGTCGTTTGAAATGCTGGATTCATATACACAGCTTAATCATCTTCTGAATGAAGGAAGTGCAAATCCTCCTCTACTTGGCTTCTGCAGGCTTTTATCCCCCTTAGTCACTCATCCTTTTCTCCTGGTCTGTCTCTGCAGAGGATGAAAGGCAGTCATTGCAGGGGTTTTATCTCAGGGGGGTGAGGACACACACACCACACAGAGCCATTCCAATTACAGAACTGATTCTTAAACCCAGCTGGAAATCCGTCTCAGACACCAAAGAGGGGCTGATGAGACCAAACCCTTTGGTTTATTTGGCCAATCCTCCCAGCCAGCCCCCTTGTTTTGGGTGTCTGTGCAGTTCCCTGAGCTCCTTGGGGACCTGCATCACCTTGGCTGGAGCTGCACCTTCAGGAGTGCAGGGTCAGGGAGTTTTTGGGTCCCTTTAGCAGCAATTGCACCCTCCAGGATTCCTGCCTGGTGTTTCCAGTGCACCCAGTCCCACAGAGCAGCAGGGTGCACAGGAACTGGGGTTTACCACCTGGCCTGAGGCTGCATGAACATGAAATACTGCACAAAGTGCTAAAGACTCACTAAAGAAACACCTGGAAATCTGCAGGGTCTGCTGGCTCTTCATTCTTTTTATCACACATCCAAAAATCTG